GAAAGGAAGTGATTGAGGTTCAGAAGAGACCAGAGTATGCTTAGCCAGAAAAAGATTGAGGTGCTGCATATAACCACCCCTTCTTTACTCGCTGTTTCCCATCTCTGTTTATAACCAAAAAAATAATACATAAAAGTATATGTGTATGTTTCTTCTTTCAACTCATTTTAAAACTGAACATTTGATAAATATTTATTGAGCATTTCTTGTGCCATAAACAATAGTGTGTGTATTGCAGAGTTAATAAAAAAGGAAGTCCCTATTCTGGGACAGTGTGGTTGCCAGCTAGTAAGAAAGATAATCTTTTGACCCTAAAGACAAAATCAGGTTTTCTCTTTAAAGTTGAGTAAATATTAGCCGAGACCGGTTTGCTCAATGGATAGAGCGTCGGCTTGGGGACTGAAGGGTCCCGGATTCGATTCCGGTCAAGGACATGTGCCTTGGTTGCGGGCATATCCTCAGTGGGGGGGTGCAAGAGGCAGCTGATCGATGACACTCTCTCATCGATGTTTCTAACTTTCTATCTCTCTCCCTTCCTCTCTGTATAAAATCAATAAAATATATTAAAAAAAAAAAAAGAAAAAAGAACAGGGATGTTATTTACATTTGAAGTGGTCTTTAGCCCAAATAGCCATAGTTATTATGTAGATGGATATTTCAAGCACTGGTTGTTTAAGGTCTTCCCTACCGGTCTTTTGAGAAATTTAGTGGAAACCCCTGCTACCATGTGATTCAGAATCCATGAGAAATGTTTCTTCCCTTTGTGCTCTATGCCACAAATGTATACATAGAAACATGCTGCTGCTGTTCGTTGTTGTTGTTGTTGTTGGTTGTTTGGTTGTTTTTTCAGGAAAACAGGGCCTTCAGAACTTTTCATTTGAATGGGGTCCAGTCTCCTTTTCTTGAATAAAATATTTTCCAGCTAAAAATTTGGCTTAACTTTTTATCAATAATCATTAATACTTCAAGAAATAAGCAAGTTTATCAGCAACTCTTCAGAAAGTATACTTTATAAGTTTAGAGATAAGGACATATATTGGCTTTGTAATAAGCTTAAATGATTAATTGTACCATTCAGATTAGACTGTGTCCCAGTTTGGAATCTAACTTGAACTTTTGTTTAAGATATAGAATTTGTTCAGCCTTTGAAAAGAGTTTTGGATTGGTGGTACATCTATAGTTTTGTTCTCCTTACATGAACTCTTTCTCTTTAATAGATGAGTTGCTTTTCTAGTCACACCTTGAAGAAGTTGTATGAAGTTGTAATTCTCTTTAAAACTTAAGAGGAGTCGACACCAGTTTGGCTCAATGGATAGAGGATCGGCCTACGGACTAAATGGTCCCAGGTTCGATTCCAGTCAAGGGCATGTACCTTGGTTGCGGGCACATCATCAGTAAGGGTGTGCAAGAGGCAGCTGATCGATGATTCTCTCTCATCGATGTTTCTAACTCTCTATCCCTCTCCCTTCCTCTCTGTAAAAAATCAATAAAATATATTTTTAAAAAATAAAAACTAACAGGAAAGTAATTTATTCACAGAGAGAATAAATTAGGGTCTCTCTTTCTCTCTCTCTCTCTCATCAGTAGTGAAACAATCCATCCTTTTTACTTGCAAAAGGGGAACAAAAAGTGACTATGTCTTTAGGGCATTTACAAAGAATTTTCTTCACCATAAGAAGAAACTGAATAAAATAGGTTTTGTATCTTTTTTATAAAAATTACTTTTTATTTAGGAAATTGAGAAGTTTCTGGTTAGGATCTTTTTTGGCATTTGGCCCAGTTCTGTCCAGAAGAAAAAGGACTTAAAATTTTAGATTTTTTGATTCTCGGAAGAATGAAACTCCTTATGATATGAGAATAATAACTAGGAAAACCTTATTATATAACCTGAACCATGTCCCTACTAGAGATATGAGAAACATTTCATAAAGTTTCCTACATAAAAAAATTATATGAGGAAAAGACAAGGATCCAATGTTTAAGCCAACTATTCGCCAACTACTTACACCTTTTGTAGATGTAATATTGCTCTGTGTACTTTAAGTTTGATTATAAAGATAAGGCTAGTCCTTGCCCAAATAAAGATGAAGAGGAGAGTCAGTATTGTGCTTCACACTTATTTGACAATCTCCTAAGACTGCTAGATAGCCCTCTTTTTCTAATGAGGGAACCAGAGTTCAAAAAGGTAAAACCACTTAGCTAGTAATTAATGGAATTGAACCTGACTTTTCCACTCGGAAACTTTATACCTACCACCTTTCTGAAAGGTTCACTAAGTATAGTCAGAGCAAAGTATGTTGGTCGCTAGATGAGTGTTAGCACAAAGTGCTAATAGGACAGTTCAGAAAGAAGAAAAATCCAGTCTTATGAGTGATCGGTAGAGACTTTGGGAGGGATCATTTAGTTTGATCTTGAATAGAAAGGAAAAACTGGGTTAGGAATTCATTTTTATCATCAGTATGCCCTTATCTGATAGAGACCTCAAATATATTTTGGATTTGAGGCAGTTGCTAAACCCTGTCTCGAAGATTTGAGTTAGAATCCTAGTTAGTTCCCAGTTCTACTTTTGAGACTCCAGACTTGACTAAAAGGTTAGTAAAGGTGATAGGAGTATTTGCTGCACCCTATTACAATACCAAGATAGCTTTGCATAAAAGGTTATGCAATTTGAGTTTGTTTTATTGACAGCATCTCATTTTCTTCCCTTTCTACCTCCCATTATGTTGTGGTAGGAATTTGAGATAGAAAATCTTCAGGATGATGTGGACATAGTTCTAGCCCCATCAGCTTCAAAGTCACATGAAGGAGCTTGCTAAATAATTGGCTTTATGTATTGTCTGACTTTGACAAAAATGCTCATTCTTTTACTTATTTATTTTTATTTATTTTTACTTTAGAGAGAAACATCGATTTGTTTTTCCACTTACTTTTGCACTTATTGGTTGATTCTTGTGTGTGCCCTGAGCGGGGATCAAATCCGCAATCTTGGCATATTGGGACAGCGCTCTAACCAGCCGAGCTACCTGGTCAGGGCAAAATTCTCACTCTTTTAGACAGTGTCCTATGGTTTGAAATAACTCCTAAAAGTGATGAAATATTTGTAAGAGGAAAGGAAATGAATAGACACCCGTAGATTTTCCAGGCTTATTGGGTGGCTGAGAGAAAATAGCAGATGTGAAAAAAGCATACATTCTATTGAAATTGTGAGAGCCTGTTATGTGTTTGGGGAGGGGGAAAACCAACTCGATCTGACTGGCTCTAGTAATCATATAATAGTTCTGACAGGCTCTTCCTCTCTGCTTCATTTTCTTCAGAAAGAGGAAATTGGAATCCATGTTTATTTAAAATAGTTGATCATCCCTCTTAAAGTGGTTTTTATAAAAATCATAATTCTGAGCAACTAGCCTCAATAAAACAATTTTGCCCGCTGTTGGTTACTTGAGCATCCTAAAAACAAAGATAAATGAAAATAAGACTAATTGCTTTTAGACATCAGTGGTCTTTCCTTGAGCTCTATTTTTTCCTGAAAAAAATACAGTTCTTCCATTTATGTAGAAGGGATTGTTACTATGTCAAGTCTGTGTAAATGTACACATATATGTGCTGTACAGTTGCTTCCTTTCTTCCCACCCCTTTTAGAGTTGATGGCTTTGTCCCTGATTGTTCAGTATAATAGTGTGCAGATTCTCTAAGAGAGCTTGTGTAGTAATGCTTGCTTTATTTTTTCTTTTTCTCTTCCACTCTTGTTTTATTTTACTTTTTTTTCTTTGTGATGTGACATTTTCAGCTGATGTATTGAAAGCAAATCCTTCTAATTTGGGAGCCCAGATCACAAGAGTGAGTTTTTCTACTAGTGTCTTTAGCTGTATATCTCTCTTTGTGTGTGTCTTTCCACCCTTTTCCCTTCCCAGTTCAAAAATATTCAAAAGACATTTCATAAATTCTAGCTAAGAAAATTCCTCTGTCTGTTGAACATCATGACTTTCCACAAAGCAATGTCCACTTTATATTGGGTCAAATTCTTTTTCCCAATGCTGTTGTAAAAACATAGGCTATTGTATGTGTTTTGGTTTCTTTTGGCTTTAATACTATCTAGTGTGTTAAAAATAATTTTAATTCTGTCTTCATTGCAGATAAATATGTCTGGACTCTGTTACCAGGATGTCATAGCACTGTTCTTTTTTGGTTCTTGTTCTTTTGTTTTAAGGAAAAATATATAATAGCTTCTGAGAATAAAAGATCCATTCTTTTATTATGATTTTAAGTAATAAATTATTTGATTTATCTCTATTCTCCCTTCTCATCCCCTGGATGTTCCTCTCAGGGCCATGAAGCAATGAAAAGCTATACCTATTACTGTCTAATTTCACCAGACTGACCGGGTGAAATGTGATCAGTCAAACTGGTGAGCTCCGAACGTGCTAGTAGCATTGGAAAATGGTTTGTTTGATAGTCGCAGGAAAACTGTTGATGCTAAAAAAGAAATAATAGCACCTTTTTATGGTGAAATAAATGTATGCTTCTCTTTATTAGTTCTGATTCAAATAATCTCCCCATGTAAGCTGTACATTGCTTTTTAAGATCTTACACCTGAGTAACTTTCTGTACTAGTTTAACCCCTTTCTGTTTTCTTTGGCTTGTTTTATTACAATTTATCTCATGTTCTATTTGTCTGGTTTTGCATCCTGGAAGAGCAGGTGATTAAATAGTTCCTTTTCGTTCTTATTAGTGTTCTAAAATGTGCTCATTGCTTCTGACATCATTTAAATTTTCTCAATAAAGCAAATGGTATGCTGTCGTAATTAGAAACGCAGATACTACAAGTGTGATACCCACAATAATCAGCCGTTGTGTTTTCTATTACCAGAAGAGAGTATAACAGTGTATTCTACACTAGCACTATAACCGTTGATTGAGGGTAAATTTTAAAGGCCTTGCTTTCAGGATCCCCAGGTTACTCTAAATCATCCTCCCTCTCTTCCCTTCTTTTGTTAACCCAGAGATTGAAAGATCTCAAGCAGAGAGAGTTTGCTCGAAATGTTTCTTCAAGATCCCGCAAGGATGAGAAGAAACAGGAAAAAGCCCTTCGGCGTCTCCATGAGTTGGCAGAGCAAAGAAAACAAGCTGAATGGTAAGGACATTTTCTCTCAGAGGGTCTATGGATAGTTATAATCCTTAAGATTTAAGAATTATAATGCTTAAGTTTTTGCCGAAACCGGTTTGGCTCAATGGATAGAGCGTCGGCTTGGGGACTGAGAGGTCCCGGGTTCGATTCTGGTCAAGGGCATGTACCTTGGTTGCGGGCATATCCCCGGTGGGGGGTGTGCAAGAGGCAGCTGATCGATGACTCTCTCTCATCGATGTTTCTAGCTCTCTATCTCTCTCCCTTCCTCTCTGTACAAAATCAATAAATATTATATATATATATATTATATATTATATATAATATACAAATATATATGTATATTATATAATATATATATACATATATATTTTATATATATATAAAAAAATTTTAAAAAAAGAATTATAATGCTTAAGTTTTTAATAGATTCCTCTTTCAACCTAAAAGCATATCTATACTTAGAGTATGCTATACTGATTAAGTAGATGCTCACCTAAGGCCATATTCTACAACCTGTGTGACCTTAAATTATCTAACCTCTGTGCCTCAGTTTCCTTATCTATAGGATGGAGATGGTAATAACAGACTAATCTCTATAGTTGTGAAGAGTTATTAAGTCACTACATTAAAAGTGCTTATAAGAGTGTTAGTATAATACATATATAAATTATGCTCAGTAAATTATGCAACTATTATTGTTCCTATCTCCAACATTCATTCTTATGCAAAAAATGTTACATTATTGTTTTATAACTTAAAAGTACTGCAGCACAGATTCACATGTAGTAACTTCCTTTTTTCCAGGAGAGCCAAAACCTGAGCCCCTTTCAGTGTCATCCAAAACTTGAACTTCTTCTATTTCTGGATTAAAAAATCCATTCACAAATGGCAATTCGGTCACCCTTTTTTACTTCAAATTTTTCTTTTCCAAAATTAAACAGTACAACACCAAAATTTCCTCTATAATCTACATCTATAACACCAGCTCCTATAAAGTGTTTTGCAGCCAAGCTGGAACGTGGAGGTCCTCTTCCACAGCACCCAGAAGGAAGAGCTATCTGAACGTCGGCTTTCACAGGGTTTTCTCCAAGGGTGGTACTGGGTAATCATGGCCCTGTACAGCGGGCACACGGGCCCCTTGGTGGGGGTAGTGGCATGCTCGGAGAGCCGCACAAAGCGAAGCTGCAGGCCGCCCTCTGCAGGCCTGGCCGCTTGCTGGGGGAGACGGCCAGTGTGTCTTCAGAGCATGTCATGGCAGGGCAGACCACAGGTGGAGGCGGTGTAACTGCCTTGTAAGTACTATAAGTTAGTACAGATACTGTGAAACCTAGGGAGTGCTCTAAGGTTCCTCCTGCTTAACAGTTTGGGGCTGGTATTTTGCCTTGGGTTAAATTTTTCCCACTTAAGGCTGAATTGCTAAGCAATTAGACTTTGGGGACCCAGTCTTTAAGCATCTAAGGATTCATGAGGTATATGCTCAATTAGAAGGTCTAGGCCCCCATGTTTGTTTGTTTGATTTGGGTTAAGTTTATGTTTTCTCCCTCTTTTTTTTTTTTTTTTTTTCATACCATTTGTTCCCCATATAACCTCTTCTACCCCCTCTTTATCTGTGCTTGTTTTGTTTTTATTTATTTTTAATTGATTTCAGAGAAAGGAAGGGAGAAGGAGGAGAGAAAAATAAAACTGCCCTCATGGATCAACACTCAACCACTGAGCCATACTGGCTGAGCCCCATTTTGTTTGTTTAACTATATTTTTATTGATTGCAGAGAGGAAGGGAGAGAAAAATAAAAACATCAGTGATGGGAGAGAATCATTGAATCATTGATTGGCTGCCTCCTGAGCCCAGAACCTTGGCATGTGCCCTTGCCGGGAATAGAACCCAGAACCCTTCAGTCTGCAGACGGACACTCTGTCCACTGAACCAAACTAACTAGGGCCCCATGTTTATTTTTAATGGCTGACCAGAACCAAAGGAAGGAACTGGTTACAGTTAAAAGATAAACTGATCATTCTTATTAAAAGTTTACAGCCTAGTTCCTTGACTTACTAGGTTTTACAGACTAGTTCCTTGACTTAATAGGTTTATTTTTGTCTCTGGATCCTTTTTTACTAATTTACTTCTTTTATGTTTTGGAGGCAGAAGGAAGGGAGAAAACGCACGTTAGTGTAAGTTTTGAAACAGAATTAACCTGAGCCCTAATGTTGAGTTAAACTGTCTATAGATTGCTTCTTTAGCATCTCTTTATGTAGTAAAACATTCCTTTTGGACCTGTTGCAAGGGTACCTCCTTAAAAGTAGTTCAGGACATTTTTTAATACATGTTTTTTCTTAGAGGTGGCTTTTAGTTCTCACTTTTACAAACAGCTAAAAGATGACTGAGTAATCTCATGGGAGAAAAAAAGAGAGTTTCGAACCCTCATCAGGTATTTATCCTAGGAGTGATGCATGACCCCATAGTAAGTATTACTGAAGTAACATGGCAAAGACTAAGCAAATATCAAAATAAACCCCCTTTTTATTCAGTTTGAGGTTTTCTTTGCTGTGTGGTAGGTTTTATGACACAGTGTAAGTATCTGCTGCTATCCAAATCTGTTGGGTTTCTATCTTCCAATAGCAAGGATTACCACGTGATCCAAATATATTTGATTCCTGAGTTAAAGACAGCTAGTAAGTAGAGTTCAGATAATGTGGACTTCAAATAGATATCTAATGCTCTTTAGCTTGAGAGATGCCTTTACAGTTCATATATTATAAAGATTTCAGGCATACAGGAGTTTAAAATGCTGGCTTTGAGACTCCTCAGTGTTCCTGTTTTCAAACCTAAGAAAGTTCTTAGTAGTATCATGATCATTGTATGTAATGCCCAGAAAGAATCAAAACCAAAATAGCTGGCCAGTGTGGCTCAGTGGTTCAGCATGTGAGGAGTTGAGCAGTGAGGAGGCTATGGTTTAGTTCCCAGTCAAGACACATGCCAGATTGTGAGATCAGTCCCCAATGGAGGGTGTGCAGTAGGCAGCTGATCAATGATTCTTATCATTGATGTTTCCAGCTCTCTCCCTCTCCCTTCCTCTCTGAAATCAATTTTTTTTTAATATATGTTTTTTATAAGTAAATGCTTAGATGTGTGGGGCCCAGGAAATAGGCACAGACCCTTAGTTTCTAAAATAGACATACTAGCCACAGACTGCCGGAGAGTAGTAGCACTTTGGAGGTTTCTGATTATGTTTAACTCTCAGAACATGCACATTTTAAAAATGACATTTGAGATACCTTAGGAAGAAATAGTAACTGACTAGTTTTAGAAACATAGCTTGATAGATTAACAGTATGGGACTGCCTGACCTCACTGGGAGAGTTCTCTGCATTAGCACAAGGCTAGGGAATGACCACACTCAGTGTGTTTTAGGCCTCCCTGTGAAGAATAATAGAACGTGAGGTTAAGTATTTTACCCCCTCTTATCTTAAGTATTTTAGAATACGTATGAAATGTACTCCTCAACCTGAGTTTGTTTTTTTATTGTTTGTTTTTTGTTTTTTTTTAATCAATGTGTAGTGCACCTGGAAGTGGTCCTATGTTCAGACCAACCACAGTGGCTGTAGACGAAGAAGGTGGAGATGACGATAAAGATGAATCAGCTACAAATAGTGGCGCAAGTGTCCCTGCCACTTGCGGACCAGGATCTGAGTTCTCCACAGATAAAGGAGGCCCTTTCACTGCAGTGCAAATCGCTAATACCACTGGACTGGCACAGGCTCCCGGCTTCGCCTCCCAAGGTATCAGCTTCGGCATTAAGAATAATCTGGGTGCCCCATTGCAAAAAGTGGGCGTGTCATTTTCTTTTGCCAAGAAAGCTCCTGTCAAGCTCGAATCAATAGCATCAGTTTTCAAGGACCACGGAGAGGAAGGGACCTCAGAAGATGGAGCAAAAGCTGATGAGAAGGGTTCTGACCAAGGACTGCAGAAGGTGGGAGACTCTGATGCTAGTAGTAATCTCGATGGCAAAAAAGAGGATGAAGACCCTCAGGATGGAGGGTCCCTTGCCTCAACATTATCTAAGTTAAAAAGAATGAAGCGAGAAGAAGGAGCTGGGGCAACAGAGCCAGAGTATTACCACTACATCCCCCCAGCACACTGCAAAGTAAAACCCAATTTTCCCTTCCTCCTCTTTATGAGAGCTAGTGAACAAATGGAAGGTGACAATAATACACACCCAAAGAATGCCCCAGAGAGCAAAAAAAGCAATTCTCCCAAGCCTAAACGCTTCAGCAAGGTGGCAGCAAGCCAAGGAGCAGGAAAGACTGTTGGTGAAGCCTCGGAGCAGCAGGCGGAAACCAGTGTGGCTGAGCCCTCAGAACCTGCAAGCAAAGCTGAGACAAAGAAGGCTTCGGGAGGGGACATGAGTGAGCAGAGTTTAGAGAGTCAGAGTCAGAAGTCTCCAGGCATCCAGATTTGTGAGTCTGACCCTTCCAAAGAAGCCTCCCAGACCGCCCCTCCAGGGAGAGAAAGCCGGGAGGGACCCAAACATCCCACTGGTCCCTTCTTTCCAGTTCTGAGCAAAGATGAAAGCACTGCCCTCCAGTGGCCATCAGAACTATTAATTTTCACCAAGGCAGAACCCTCCATTTCATACAGTTGTAACCCTTTATACTTTGACTTTAAACTTTCAAGGAACAAAGATGCCAGAGCTAAAGGGACAGAAAAACCAAAGGACACGGGAGGCTCCTCAAAGGACCATCTCCACGGCCATGATCCTGGTGAGCCAAACAAAAGTCAGGAAGGAGGAGAGAAAGCAGAACGTTCCTCGGGAGATAGAACGGATGTGCCTGCTCCGGGATCTTCCTGTCGCGGCCTGAATAAGCAGGACCCTGGTGGCAGCCACGGATCGGAAGCAGAAGACGCAGGGAGAAGCCTTCCTAGCAAGAAAGAACGATCTGGGAAGTCCCATCGACACAAAAAGAAAAAGAAACACAAAAAATCCAGCAAACACAAACGGAAACACAAGGCTGACCCAGAAGACAAAAGCTCTAAGGTGGAATCTGGGGAGAAGTCTAAGAAGCGCAAGAAACGAAAACGAAAGAAGAATAAGGCAGCCCCGGCAGATTCTGAGCGGGGCCCCAAACCAGAGCCCCCCGGGAGCGGCAGCCCCGCCCCACCGAGAAGGCGGCGGCGAGCCCAAGACGACTCCCAGCGGAGACCCCTCCCGGGTGAGGAAGGCAGCGCTGGGAGGAAGGAGGAAGGTGGCGGCGGCGGCAGCTCTCAGGATCACGGCGGGAGGAAACATAAAGGCGAGCCTCCGGCTTCATCCTGCCAGCGCAGAGCGAGCGCCAAACGGAGCAGCCGGTCCAGCCATCGGAGTCGACCCAGCAGCGGAGATGAGGACAGTGATGACGTTTCCTCACGCCGGCTGCACCAGAAGTCTCCATCCCAGTACAGCGAGGAGGAGGAGGAGGAGGAAGAGGAAGACTCGGGCAGCGAGCATTCCCACAGCCGCTCACGGTCTGGCCGGCGCCATTCCTCACACCGTTCCTCCCAGCGTTCTTACTCAAGTAGCTCAGAGGCTTCTTCAGACCAGAGCTGCTACAGCAGGCAGCACAGTTATTCTGATGACAGCTACAGCGACTATAGTGCCCGGTCGCGGAGGCACTCGAAGCGCTCCCATGACTCTGATGACTCGGACTACACCAGCTCCAAGCACCGGTCCAAGCGGCACAAATACTCATCTTCTGATGACTACAGCCTCAGCTGCAGCCAGTCCCGAAGCCGGTCTCGGAGCCACACCAGAGACCGCTCAAGATCCCGGGGCCGCAGCCACAGCCGCAGCCGCAGCCGCAGCCGCAGCAAACGGAGGAGCCGTAGCACCACAGCCCACAGCTGGCAGCGAAGCCGGAGCCACAGCCGGGACCGCAGCCGCAGCACCAGAAGCCCTTCCCAGAGGTCAGGCTCTAGGAAAGGATCGTGGGGTCACGAGAGCCCCGAGGAGAGGCGTTCTGGCCGTCGAGACTTCATTCGCTCTAAAATCTACCGCTCCCAGTCTCCTCATTATTTCCGATCTGGTCGGGGAGAAGGCCATGAGAAAAAGGAAGATGGCAGAGGAGATGATAGTAAAGGGACAGGCCTACCCTCTCAGAACAGCAATGTTGGCACAGGAAGGGGATCGGAGAGTGACTGCAGCCCTGAAGATAAGAACTCTCTCACTGCCAGACTTCTCCTGGAGAAGATCCAGTCAAGGAAAGTGGAGAGGAAACCCAGTGTAAGTGAGGAGGTGCCGGCCACCCCAAATAAAGCTGGGCTCAAGCTCAAGGACCCACCACAGGGTTACTTTGGGCCCAAGCTCCCCCCCTCTCTTGGCAATAAGCCTGTCCTTCCACTGATAGGGAAACTCCCAGCTACCCGAAAGCCCACCACCAAGAAATGTGAAGAGTCTGGCGTAGAAAGGGGGGAAGAGCAAGAACAGTCAGAGACAGAGGAAGGGCCTCCAGGGAATAGTGATGCCCCGTTTGGACATCAGTACCCCTCAGCGGAAACAGCTGGCTCCTTACCAGACCCACCTCCAGAAGAGCCGAAATCTGAAGAAGCTACTACTGCTAATCACCCTGTGGCTCCACTAGGCACCCCAGCGCACTCTGATTGCTATCCTGGGGACCCGACCATCTCCCATAACTACCTCCCTGACCCCAGCGATGGGGACACCCTAGAATCCTTGGATAGTGGCAGTCAGCCAGGCCCTGTGGAATCTAGCTTGCTGCCAATAGTGCCAGAACTTGAGCACTTCTCCAGTTATGCGCCTCCCAGTGGGGAGCCTAGTATTGAGTCAGCTGATGGGGCGGAGGATGCTTCCCTGGCCCCCCTGGAAAGCCAGCCCATCACCTTCACTCCCGAGGAGATGGAGAAGTACAGCAAACTCCAGCAGGCTGCACAGCAGCACATCCAGCAGCAGCTTCTAGCCAAGCAAGTGAAAGCCTTTCCAGCCTCCGCTGCCCTGGCCCCAGCCACTCCAGCCCTGCAGCCCATCCACATTCAGCAGCCGGCCACAGCCTCTGCCACCTCCATCACAACTGTTCAGCATGCCATCCTACAGCATCACGCCGCAGCAGCTGCTGCTGCCATTGGCATTCACCCCCACCCTCATCCCCAGCCACTTGCCCAAGTGCATCATATTCCCCAGCCCCACCTGACACCCATTTCCTTGTCCCACCTCACTCACTCCATCATCCCTGGCCACCCTGCCACCTTTCTCGCTAGCCATCCCATTCACATCATTCCTGCCTCAGCCATCCATCCTGGACCCTTCACCTTCCACCCTGTCCCACATGCTGCCCTCTATCCTACCCTGCTTGCCCCACGGCCTGCTGCAGCAGCTGCCACTGCCCTCCACCTTCACCCACTTCTTCACCCCATCTTCTCAGGTCAGGACCTGCAGCACCCTCCTGGCCATGGCACATGAGTTGGGGGAGGAGAGCCCAGGTAGGACCAGGGAAGGTGACCCATAAGTCTTCCCTTGGGGGTGTTGAGCCATTAATACCAGCAAGTAGAAGCTGGACGGGCAGTGTCTGATAGCCAAAGAATTAAGTTTTGGCTTGCAGGGGTGGTTTTAGATTTGAGGTTTGCTTTGGGTTCACTATCAGGGATTTCCCCCATTTTCCTTGTATCCCTTCCCCTCCTGTGTTTCCAGACTGGGAAACACCAGTAAGTGCTACCCACCCCTCTGCAGCAACATTTCCAGATGGTCACGTTTATATACTCCCCTCCTCCCTCTACTGTTTAACCTCTGCTCTTCCCTTCTATAAATTTAAAAACATTTCCTCCTCTCTGGCCGGCGGGTTGTCCATCTGATCCTGCCTTCCCAGTGTCTGACCATCCCTTGGTGACCTTGTGTTAGCCTGGGTGAGGTGGAAAGGGAGTCAGACCTGGAATCAGATGTTACTCTGTTTTTGGATCCACTTCCCACATAAAGAGCCACACGTTTGGCACTGATGTCCTCGTGTCCCTCATCCCAGAAGAGACATCGGACTCCCCCAGAAAAGAAGATCCTATCATGATTACAAGCTACGCGGAACACAGTTTTCATGTGCTTCCCCAGAGAGGAGCTTGTATGTCTGAAGGGTGTATTTTCTTCTGTCATGTTGATGTTTCCTTCTTAATTTATAGGATTTTTTTAACGTAAAAAAAAAATTGCACTGAACTCTATAAACGCAAATGCTGCTTTTTGTAGCTCATAAAAAAGGTTCCATATTTGTAGTATACTGCAATAATATTTTTTACATCTAGCTCTTTAAGTGATCCTTGTTCTGGTGGCTTTGTGTAAATATGTTTGCCTAGTTGAATTAAGAAACTAAAAGTTATAAGATGAAAGCAAAAAATAAAGTATTTGTTTTCTGCTAGATGCAAAAATGACTAAGCATGTATATTTTATCAAACTCATGTATTTTTTGAACTATAGTTATGAACTATAAAAATGCTAGAGCAAAAAAGGAACATTGTTTAACATTTTTGCTGGGACAAAATGTTCAGTAATTTGCATTAAGTGGTGCCCCCAGCACTGGGGTTTTTGAAGTAATGGGCATCACTCAGCTGGGGGGTTCAGGAATACTCATTTAAGGCAGTCTCCTTCATATGCTTTGTTTTGTTGTTTTTTACAGAGAAACAGGTGGGCCCACAGAGGAGGAAAACGTTCAGGAGCTTTATTTGAAAGCAGTGAGATTCAGAGTGATTGGGGGTTTCTGATGCCTTGTTCTAGGCAGTCCATTTGCCTTCCTAGTACTTCGCCGCCTCTGATAATTTTTTTTTTTTTTTTAATGTGCCTTTTTGGTTAGCTAGAAACAAGTAGAAATAGACATGGGGATGGCAGAGTTCCGTTTTCTTCCTCCTCCTGTTGGGACATGAGCACATTTATAGACACTGCACATTCTTTTGCTTCATAGTTTCCATGCCTTCAGCCCAGTTGAGAGTAAGCAGTAAAGATTCCTTTTCTCTTCTGTGACACCATGGTACCTACCAGGGGAAATACCGCCTCGGTTCCTCTTCCTCTTCTTGCTTTTCACCTGGGCTTTCAGCCCTGACGAACACACTGACCCAGAAGCGTTTGTATTGCAGTTCTCACCTTCTTTGGTGTAAGTAGCAGATCCCCATTTGGCATTTCCATGCCTATTCCTGTGGCTGGAATTGGTTGGGTGGTCATCTGAACACCCTGCTTACTTGGGCCAAGGCTCCGTGTTCTGCCTCTCTTCTTGAATTCCCAAATGAAAACGGTTTTGCGTTTATGAGAAGCAAATGCTGGGCAAACAAGGCTCTGGACTCAGCCTCCTACCTGTTTCATGCTCCTCACACGGTTCAGAAGCCTCATTTTTTTTGATAACTAGCACTGGAAAAATGAAATGTCTTTGATGTGAAGGGACTCATTTTTCTTTGCTTTCAGTCCATGTAAATAATTTAATACAGTATTAACATTTTTGTGCTATTTCCCTTCCCATTAGCTTGTAGATTGAGCCATACTCTGGCTGCCTCTGCCTTTCTGGGGGCAGTTTTCTTTAACTTTCAGAATAGTGATTTTAAAACTTTAAAAAACAGTAAAGAAAAACAAGATAGCCTATCCTTCCTTACAAGCATATCAGATTGTATTTAACTTTATCACATATGCTGTAAAATTAGGGAAAGGAACTTTCTAATAAACCAATGATTTGTGGAAACGTAGCAGAGTCTGTTGTGATTGTTGCCCCATCCATTCAAGTTGGGAAGGGATGGAGTTAAGGGTTGGTTACAAATAACAAATTGTTTGAAGTGGTCAAGGGACAGACTCTTGAGAACCAGTTTTTTATGATGTTTGGAATTGTGCTGCTCAGAGCTCAGGCTGCCCGGTAGAGAGAAAAGACGGTGATGTGGAAGAGCATGTAGTAAAGTTTCTCAGTCTTGGGTAGGTGCTTTGGAATGCGCACCCCTTTTCCACTCTTTCCCATTTCCTCTTAGGTATGTAATCTGTGTGCAATACAATGTATGGCATGTAGGTGCTCGCTGAGTAAGTGGGTTTGGAATTTCTGAGTTGGATTTTTAGAATTTTGGATTTACTTCAGGGCAATGGAATTAACAAGAGTCATCTACCTGGCCTTTGGCCTCCAGATGTAGTTCTGTACCAGAACCGGCCTTGAATTATTCTCCTCGACCCTTTAACACAGGACAGAACTTGAGAGCTACCTGGTAAAAGGAAATAGGCCTTGTTACTGAGCTGATAAAAGCTCTGCTGTATCTAAAAATCACAAAAGAGAAAGTTTGGCATCAAAGCTCACCATAGATTCGCAGGAATGAATTAGTTTCCTCTCCCTCCTCAGCCTTTCAGGGAGGAGGAGTACAGTGTCATTTCTTTCCTACTCATTCCTAACAGCTGTGTTCTCCCCTGGACTGAAGAGAAGCTATTCAACATGGACCTTCGGTTGGCTGCTCAGATCTGCCTGTTTTCCTAAAGTAGCAAAATTGCTGCCCAGAAGGAAAGGATGTTAAAAAATGAAAAGTATGCCCTGACCGGTTTGGCTCAATGGATAGAGCGTCGGCCTGCGGACTAAAAGGTCCCGGGTCCGATTCCGGTCGAGGGCATGTACCTTGGTTGTGGGCACATCCCCAGTAGGGAGTGTGCAGGAGGCAGCTGATCAGTGTTTCTAACTCTTTATCCTTTTCTCTTCCTCTCTGTAAAAAAAAATCTATATACATATATTTTTTAATTTATTATTTTTTTATGAAAAGTAATGTTCTGAGTAGGCAAGGTGCCAATGAAAGAAACAGACTGGCCTGTAGACGGAGTACCTGCCTCAGCCACCTGGGCTTGCAACGTGGATATGCCTCTTCTATATCCTCAGTGACAAACCCAGGCCTGTGAGCCATTTCCATTCTTATTTACCAGAGACACCTTCACTTCCTCTTTATCAGTTCATATCTGAATGTTGGCTGTATTTCCTGGCTGACCTCCCTTGACTCTTAGGATATAATTCCCTGTCCCACGTAAGCTTACTGGCTTTTCAGGATCTGAGTGCAGTTCATTTTGTGTTCACTGCTTCGCAATAGTTATAAGTTCTTGGAGGATGGGGCTTAATTCTTATACTTTTTTTTTTTTTTTTAATCCCTTAGAGCAGTGGTCGGCAAACTCGGTCAACAGAGCCAAATATCAACAGAACAATGATTGAAATTTCTTTTGAGAGCCAAATTTTTAAACTTTTAATGCCACTTCTTCAAAATAGACTCTTCCAGGCCATGGTATTTTGTGGAAGAGCCGCACTCGGGGCCAAAGAGCCGCATGTGGCTCACAAACCGCAGTTGGCCAACCATTTCCTTAGAGTGTTTTACAGAGTTGAACACATAGTAAACATTTTGATTATATGTCCAAGGAAGATTTGAGCAAAATATTATAAAATACTACTGAAGATTATGCATCAGGGTTTAGAAAGGAAACCAAAGATGATAAAATGTTTTTCTTTATGTCCACATCACCTAGCTCAGTGCCAGCACCTAATAGAAGTTCAATAATTGTGGACTAAATGACGTCTTAGCAGAACTTTGAATTCATTGAGGGATTCTAGCACCCTGGTGGCTGATGGGAAAGTGGGAGCAGTGTGTCAGCAGCACTCCTGCCTACAATCTCAGAAAGGAGATTAACCCAGCTCTGACCCCAGCGGAACATCCGAAGAACAGAATTCTTGCTGAAGACCACACTCCTCTCCCTTCCCAACACTGATGCTCCACCTGTTTCCAATTTTAGTTTCTGGTACCATTGTTCTGCCAGCCAACAAGGCACCAAAGCTCCGAGTTTTGACACTCCCACCACAGCAGTTACTGATTGTGTAATCTCTGCTGTCTCGTTCCTGCCATCCGTACCTGGGTTTAAGCCTCATCCATCACCTTTAACCAAGAGGATTGTAGTTGCTCTCCATCTGATCTTCCCAGTAAGTTCTGCCTTTTCCAGTTCCTTCTATCCACAGTCAGTGTAACTGTCCAAATCAAAGCACAATTAGTAGATCTCTTATTGTCAGACTTGAAAAGTCTTTATGATTCTCCAGATTCTCCAGATTCAAGTTCAAATTCCTTTATAAGGCATTCAAGGACCTCGAGTTGTTGACCCCAGCCCTCCATTCCACCCTAATGCCCACTCTGTCCTCGTGCCCCAGGCCCTTCCCTATAATTGACCTTTCTGTCCTGCCTCTTAAAGAGAGTGCCTAGAACTCCATTCTCTGACAAGAGTGTAATGGATAAGAGCATGATTTTAGCCCTAGCCGGTTCGGCTCTGGATAAAGCGTCGGCCTGAGGACTGAGGGTCTCCAGTTCAATTCCGGTCAAGGGCACATGCCTGGGTTGAGGGCTAGATCCCCAGTAGGGGGTGTACAGTAGGCAGCTAGTCAGTGATTCTCATAGATGTTTCTCCCTCTTTGAAATCAATAAAAATACTTTTTTAAAAACATGATTTTA